AAAAAAAAAAAAAAAAAAGAGAATATGGTACATATACACGATGGAAAACTACATAGCCATAGAGGGAAACTCTCTTAATCCTTAAATTCCAGCCCTCCGAAAAGTGACTTGGCTTCCTAAGTCCACTGAAAATTGTAAAGAATTTTGTTAAGAAATTCACAACCATTTCTTTCCACATAACAGTGTTATTTCCTTGTCCTTCAATCCAAATTGTCAAGTGTCATCTTACTTGAGTTTGTGTTAAGCATCTCACCTGTTTAACACCATATTCAAAAGCCTTCTGGGCAAGCCTGCCAGGTCCCTCCACAGTTTTTCCATCATCATTAGGGCCCCAACTTGCACTGTAAATATCCACATGTCCGGGATTGAATCCAATTGAACTGGCCTCAATAGCATCTGTCACAATGCCATCCAGCATTCTTATGCCTGAGCGACAAAACAAAACAAAACAAGTTTGATGTCAGTATGTCCATGTAGAAAAGGCACAATGCTCTTAATATTCATATATATACATATTTGAGTCAGGGTCTTACTCTGTTACCAAGAATGCAGTGGCATGATCACAGCTCACAACAGCCTCAAAGTCCTGGGCTCAGGTGATCCTTCCACCTCAGCCTCCTAAGTAGATGTGACTATAGGCATATGCCACTATTGCCAGTTTTTGATGTTTTGTAGAGATGAGGTCTTTTTGTGTTGCCCAGGCTGATCTTGAACTCCTGGTTCAAGCAGTCCTCCTGCCTTGGCCTCCCAAAGTGCTAGGATTACAGGCATGAGCTACCATCCCCAGTCAATATTCATATTTTAAAGGGCTCTTAAGAGAGTAAAAAACCAGGTAGCTACTAGATGTTCCCAACTTCTATGACCCAGCTACTAAGAGCATGGAAAGAAACAGAAGGAAAGCATAAGTCACTGTCCTCATAAACTTACTTGACTGCTCTTTAGAGATAATACTATGCACTATGCAGGCAGCTGTAATTTTTTTCCCTCACATCTCTGTTCTCAGCAATACGTCTGGGCATTGAGGTTGAAGGAGAGTAGCATCACTGGACAACAGGAAGTGGCTATGGTTGCTGTTGATTACAAAATGTATCTCCTCCCTCCACCACCCCCAACAAAATGACAGAATATTAATAGCTTTCAGAAAGACCCACTAGACAGTCACTCCTTGACACACCTGCCCGTGACTGTATCAACAATGGCCGTGACCCAGTCTGTGCTACACAAAGAACCATGGACAGGAAACCATGAAGCTTGAAAAGATCTAGCCACAATAGGAAACTAACAAAGAGGGAAAGAACTCTTGTTTCTAAGCACTGATTAAAAATAACCCAGAGGCCATTCTTTTATGTGTTTGCTAAGAAACATTTTGAAGAAACATGCTTCATTTTCTTCTAAATATTATCAAGGATGAAATCATTGCCTTGGATTTCACTCCTGAGGGGGAACGTTTTTCATCAGGAAAAGGTAGACGTGGTAGCTCTTTGTGCTTTCCAACAGGCTGTTGTCCATCGTCAGATTCATGAATTCAAGAGCCAGGATGGCAAAAGTAATCTGAACAGATACAGGCAGCTATCTGGTTATTTCTGGCTTGTAATGCAATGGAGTTCACAGCCTTAGATTTTCACACTATTCCTTATTAGGGAGCAGAGGTAAAGGAAATGTAATTGACGTGATCAGTGAAAGTTATATTTGCAAAAAAAAAAAAAAAAACTGTTTAAAAATGCATTTGGAAGGAAAAGTTCCCGACTCTGCTGCTTACTAGCTATGTAATTTTGGGCAAGTCACTTAACCTCTCTGTGCCTCAGTTTCTTCTACTGTAAAATGGGAATGATAATAACAGCTCACATGCATTGAGGATATTCTATATGCAGCCACCATCCTATAGGCCCTACTGGTGTGAACTTATCTAACCTTACAACAAGCATTTGAGGTGGGTTCTGTAGTTCTCCCATTTTATAGCTGGAGAGATTGAGGCTAGGGAGAGAGAGTGATTTGCCCAAGGCTACACAGTTTGAAATTGGGGATCCAGGATTTGAACCCTAAAAATCTGGCCCCCACCTTGTAATCACCAGGATACACTGCCCATAATACGTTGTAGGGTAAGTGATTGGCGTACAATAGGTGCCTAATTTTAAAAATTATTGTTAGACATGCATTTGGAGCTAGACGATCAAAAGGTGGAGTAATTAAAAAAAATCAGTAGTCTTAGAAACTTATGTTTCAGTTATACACTGCCACAAACCATCTTTCATTGTGTTGGGAAGCTTGCTTCTTATTCTTTCTCTATAAAATGAAAGGATCAGATGATCTCTCACAAACTATAGCTATTTAATTCATCATGACTTAAGAAGTGAATCCTTCTTCTAGTTGCTTACATAATTTGTGCTTCTGTCTTCATTTTCTGTACATTAATGGAGCGCTTTAAAGATGTTAGTATTAAAGGAATCAAGACAGAGACTTAAAATCTAAAAGCATCCAGTATTAATGAAAGATATATTATATATGCCAGGATGTATATCCCTTTGCACTCAGATGCCTCCTCTGAGGGGACATTAAATCTAGCAAACATCTAGCAAACCTAGATGTGCCCTCTCAGGAGACTTAAAGAGATTGCTGGTGATTATAGAGGACAAACTTATGCCAGCACAAGTTTTTCAAAAATATATATTTCCTTGAAGTTTGCCATACAAATTACACATAAAAGCAAATAGAGAGATGGAATATATACTGAGATATGATCGATCAGTTGAGAATTGGTTTTCAAGAATCATGAGTATGTCCTTCCACATCTTCTTCGAAAAATAGGCTGGACAATAAATTATGTATTAATGTGGGAGGAAGAAAATGAGACTGCATTGTCTTCTTGAATAAAAAAACACCAGGTGGAAGACATCAAACAAATTACTGTTGCCCAGCATGTATCGATTAACCTGCAATGTATGTCGGTTAACTGTTTCAGAGCTCAGCCTGTAATCACGCGCTTTTGGGAGGCCGAGGTGAGTGGATTGCCTGAGCCCACGGGCTCGAGACCCGCCTGGGCAACGAGATCTCATCTCTATAATAAATCAAAAAATCAGCCGGGCATGGTAGCGCATGCCTGTAATTCCAGTTACTTGGAAGGCTGAGGTGGAAGGATCGCCGGAGCCCAGCAGTTGAGGCTGCGGTGGCCGGGAGCGGCCACTGCACTCCAGTCTGGGCGACCGAGTGAGACTCCAACTCAAAAACAAAAAAAAAAAGAAAAATATAAGATATAAAATTTTGATTTCTTGTCATAAATCAGTGCCTCAATGTCCAAAATTCTATTATAAGCCAAATGTTATTACAATGAAATAATTGGTTCCAACGCTATACTATTTAATATGAAGTGATTCGTTTTTCCCTATTTAGTAAAAAAAGTACAGTTGAGTTACTGGTCAGTGATTCGCGAGGTGTCTCTGAGTGCAAATTGATATTTATTTGGTTTGTAAGAAGGAATATATAACCAAATTCAAGGTATGCTAATGTAGAGTTTAATGGGGTTATATTGTAATTGATGTGTCCTACAATTCATCTTTTTGGTGGTTATAGTGTTTGAAAACAAAACTAAATTCAAAGTTTATCATATGAGATGAGAGCCCAAGGTAGGGATAGTGTAAAGAGATCAGAGGTATCATCTCTGTTAGCCTCTACAGATCCACTTTCCACCCTTCTCCACTGGAACATGGACTGCCTCAGCAGGGTCTCTTGCCTGGCCGTTGGTCTCAGTCAACTGAAGACACCAGCAGGTGGGTGGGGAATGAGAGGAGAGCCAGGTACCATTTCTCTTTCCCCTTGCTCCTTCAGGTCTAAAGGTGGCAACATCTGCTTACATTCATTAGCCCTTTATTAGTTTTCTCTAACTCTTGTAAATAGTTTCTTTATTAAAATGTTCTTAGTTACCCCAGTGGAACTTACCATGTGTTTTGCCATGTGGCCACTGACTAAAATAATTAAAGATTCTACATCCTTGCTATAAAAGATAACCTTTGGCTACTTAATATAACAAGTACAGCTTAAATTTTTTTTTCTGAAGCTGTTCTTTGCTATAAAATGAAAAACTTCTATAGAACTGAGAAGCAGGAAAAGTCTTTGCCTAAATATACCTCCTCCTTCTGTTCCCTTAGCAAGCACTCAATAACAAACCCTTCTAAATCAGAACATAGAGAAAATTAGATTTGGTTCAAATGTAATTCGACATTTCCATATTGTTTTTTTCCTGCAAAGATGTATAGCTATATTCAGCCATCCATTTACTAAGAATCCATAGCCATTGATTTGCTTGTTCAAGTCCTGCAACAAATTTTGCAGGGAACTCATTTCTTCCTTTGATTGTTGAAAAGAAAAACACCCTCCCCCATTTACATGAACAACCTCTGCTTTACCTCCAACTTTGGAATTGTATGCAACTCCAACCCCGCATTTGTGATTATTTGCTTGCATGGCAATTTCTCCTGCACATCTGGTCCCATGTCTGAGGATTAAAAAATAAGAATTAAAAAACCTACATAAGGACAAACATTTGGTTTGCATATGAATTCATGGTAGATACAACTTTTTATCAGCCTTATGTTTCATTTTCTTTCCATTAGTATTAGATGAAAATTATGTTCAGATGAAAAGCAAAGATACCAGAGCCAAGGCGTGTGAGTTCAAATTCTGACTTGACTTTGGGTAAGTTACGTATCCTCAGACAATTGCTGTAAAGATCACCTGAGATATTGTATGTAAAGCACTTAAAATGGTGGCTGACAGATAGTATGAACCCACTCAGTGTTAGTTATTAATACTATTATGAAACTCTGACCTCAGAAATGATTTCAAAGAAATGACTTCTGCTTCATACTTTTAAGTTCCCTTTTAAATCCTCCTCCTCTTCTCTAACCATATAGCACACTAAAATGTCTGAGAATTATCTGGTACCCAGAGGCACTTGAGATTTTTCAGAAGACTCTATAGGCTAATTGGGAAACCAGTGTGTTCCGTCAACTCTGACTGGGGCCAGAAGCCTAAACATAATTGGTGTTGCAATTAGTCAAATAAGATAATTGATGATTTTAGAGTATTTGGAGGAAAAAAACTATCTCTAAAACACCAAATTCCAGCACTAAAGCATCACTTCTGAAATTCTGGGGATGATAATTGTCTTTTCCCATCACCATTCTAACTCAGGAGGGCCAATAAGCCAAGAGCACACTAATGTGAACTTATTTATTTCATGACTTTATTCCACTGTGGGAATATCTTGGAGCAGCACTAAGGCTGTTGGTGGTTTGGAGGAATCTTGACCAGACGTAGAAGAAAAGAGAGGAGGGCTTCGCTCTGAGCTACAGTGTTGGCCAGCTAGCTTTAGACACCAACATACTGGCCATCTATTCGTTCAACCCAGGATGGAATACCAAATTCCTAAACTGACTGGGTCATCCATAAGAATTCTCTTTTTTCTATAGTACCAAAGATGATTCCAGGTCTCTTTCCACTTAGTGACATTCCCCTCTCCTTGGTGTTAATACTGGAAAGGAATTCTAGGTCAGGACAATAGAATTATCTTTAACTTATTGTCTTCCCTGATGCAGCACACATCTTTTTTGTATACTAGTATTTTCCCATTCAAGAAGTGGCTCTTCCTGACTTTTGTGTGTGTGTGTGTTGGATGGTCTTACTATGTCGCCCCTGTTGGAGTACTGTGTCATGATTACGGCTTACTGCAGCCTCCACCTCCTGGGTGCAGGTGATTTCTTCTTCGGTCTCCCAAGTAGCTGAGACCACAGGCAACATGCCCAGCTATTTTTTGTAGAGTTGAAGTCTTGTTATGCTGCCCAGGCTGGCCTTCCTGACTTCTTGTGATTCTTTCCATTATGGGTCCTCTCCTCCTAGACAGCTTTCAAAGATTGATACAGATTCTGGGGAAGAGAACCTTGCTTTTTCTTGGGAATCTTGAGGTTTCAGTTCATGTGAGCCATGTGGATCTTGCTCTGCCACACATGAGTCTGCTGAAGCTGAGTAGAGGCGAGCAGCACCAAGAGATGAAAACAGAGTGCTTGGTGTCCTGAGGACATATTGTTGGAGCTCCTGGATCTTGTAATATCTGAAGCTGGAACATTCCTTGGGTGATATTTTATAAAAAATTCAAAATTAAGATCCTGCTTAATCTTTGAGTTAGAATTATTTTATTTGCTGCTGAAGGTGTCCTGAACACACCCATTCTCTGAGACCTGTGTACACGTTTGAACACATAGAAGACATTGTATGCTTTGTTGCTAGATTAGCGCTCTTTTTCTTTGGATTAGCCCTATTTGCTTCTGACAAATGTGCTTCCAGAAGTTTCCACTGCCTAAATTTCCTGTTATATAGAATGAGAGACAGAGCTCAAAATAGCAAAAGAACCCAGTACAAGTGTCCAGTTTGAGCCAACAGAATCAACCCATTGACACACATTGCCAGAATTGTGTCATTGTCCTACAAAATGATGGAGTGTGCCATTACCTGTTATTTATCTCTCCTTATATACTGAGGCCTGACTAGTTTCTATTGAAAGTTTGCAGTGGAATCATAGTACAAATACGGGCTGATATGTTTTCCTCCTCTCACGCTCAGTTCCCGCCTCTACACATTGAGAAGAAGGGAAGACTTGATAAAAGTATGTCTTTGCTATTCTTTAAAGACCTACAGCTCTCTTTGTTTCCTAAGTGAGGTGTTGAGATAAAAGAACCTTCTATTATCTTAGAACAATGGTAGTAACTGGATTTTAAACAAATTTATTTTTATAAAAATTATTTTTCAAGATAGTTTAAAAACTACTCTTATTCTGGTTAAAAAATCCTTGTCACACATGTTTATTGAACTACATAAAGAATTTGTAATTGGTGTTGAAATACTAAATACAGATTATTTCTAGTTTGATAATAAGAGGTACCTGTACTTTTTAAGATTTTATTATTTAGTGATTCCTCTTTTGATTTGCAAAGGAGAATTCAAATACGGCTTCTAGTAATCTCATTTACATAGTAATAAAGAACAGCAGCAATCCAGATAACTTGGAGAGATAATACCCTTGGAATTGGGAGATAATGGGTCTCCAGTTGCTATAAAGGCCAAGATAAAACGGGGGCATTTATTTTCCAAACCTAAGAGATTTATATCTGACAACATGCTGGAAGAGTAACTCTATTTCTTATTATACCTTTAGGAGGCTACCCTTTTTGGTTGATCGTCAAGAGGACCCTGAAAGATAGTAGCTCATTATGTCATTTTCAAATAGCAGATTCTGAATTGGCTCAGAAAATTGACTCGTCTCTGTTTTTGCTCCTGTTGAATGATATTATTCTTGTCACGTTGATTTTGCACGGAAAGAAGGTCTAGCTCAGTTGCTCAGTGAGATGCTGTGATCACTGTCACTGTCATTATCATTATCATCATCATCATCACATCAAATGCTTATTTAACTTTTTATTTATCAGTGTCCAAGCCATATATATAAGTTCATTTAATCCTCATAACTTAATGAAATAGATATCCCTTTTCAAAAGTTAAGTAAATCCAAGCACACAAAAGTTAAGTAATTTGCCCAAGATCACTCAACTATTAAGTGCCAGATCTAAGATTTGATCTATATCTGGCTCCAAAATCTGTGCTCTTAACTGTTGGACTATGCCACGCTACCTTCATGCCACATGGAAGTTTCATGGCAGGCTCTTTGCTGGTAGCTCAGAGTTTTCAGGCACAAAGTAAATATCATTATATGGGTTACTTCCTTGAGGTCCTTGGAGTTCTCCGAGTTGGGTAAAATCAAATTTTATAAGGTAAAAAATAGATAGGTAGATAGTTAGATAGATAGACAGAAAGATAAACAGTTATTATAAATGCTGTGCTGTTATAATAGCTGTTATAAACTGACTCCCCATTTGGGAGGAGGAAGGTCTTAAGTCTCCCTTCTCCTGACTAGAGAAACTCCAGAGAGTATCATTTCGACAAATATTCACCTACTATGCAGCCAGTACACAAGTTATCACTCACAGTGGATCCTGGGGCCAGACCCAGCATCTGCTTAGAAGGAGGCACACTGCCTAGGAAGGAGCTGATTTCTCCAGCTATGGCTCCTTTGTGGCACCCATGTGGCTGGGAGCAGATTTTCCTTTAGTCTTAATCAAGGGGGTGGAATGAAAGTGCTTGTTTTTTACTCTTTTCTAAGAAGGGTGTCTCTTATGTCCAAGTACTTGTCACTCATTTCCTCAGGAAATTTCTTTCAGAAATGTAAGGCACAGGTGCCTTGTCATCCGTTTTAGGAGACAAAAAAACTAGAGATAAAGAGAGGTGAGTGATTTTCCCGAGATCACCCTCTATGCTGCTAATTGGCAAAACCATAACTATCATCCAGGTTGACATTCCAAGGCTATACTCCAAAAGAACAGATGTTCCCACTGGTCTTGCACTATTTTGACTCAGAAATGTGGCAAAAAATTTGTCTGGGGGACCTGCTATGAGCTCCTGAGACACTCCCACTTTCTTCCAATGATGTTCCTGCCAGCGATTCCTATTGTACTGTAACTGAATGTTTTAGCCTCTTCAGAGTGCTTGTGGTTAACCTCTTTACTCAAGCTCTCAAAGAAATAAGTGATACTGAAAGAAGTCATATTTTTGAACCCTCCATGAGCCTCCCCTTTTCCCCAAGAAGTTGAGGCCAAACCATATACCCCAGCCTCCCTTCCCAGAGTTTTTGGCTTTCTGGAAGAGAAAGCACCAAAAGAAAAAAATACTTTGAGTTAGTATTACAGCGCTAGCACATGGGAGTTCTAAGAAAGAATAAGGGAGAAGGAGGGAGGGAAGGAGAAGAGAGGGAGAGAAGGAGGGAAGGATGGGGAGAGAGAGAATTGACTGACCCAAATTGCAAGTTGAGTAACAGTCCAAGAGACAGAACCATCCAGAGAGAAAAAGGAAGCATTTATGTGACATCTAACAGTAGTTTCCACTCCCACTTGTAACTGCAAGCCCTAATTTTGACCTTGACTTTTGTCTATTTTGGTGCAGGTCTCTTCTGGGTGGAAAAAAATGAAGAAGGAAGTCTGAATGTCTCCTTGATGTAAAAACATTCACACGAACAAAGATAATTTCTTCTATGGGCCTTGAGAGTCTGTGGACCTTGAGAATCCACATGCCTAGAAGGTGAAGTTTATTTGGGGCTAGGAAGGAGGGTTGACAGTCTCTTTTCTCTGGGTCTTTGACCTCTTACTTTACAAGGTCTGGCTCTTGGTTTACCTCATCACCCTATGACTTCAATGGAGAGATAGTTAATATAGGAGTCAGATGCTGGCTCTTTTCTCTTCCCTTTGGTCTTACATTGGCAAGAACTCTGGACAGACTACTAACTGGTTCCAAGCCCTGGAGATTGTGTTGGATTTGGAGGCCAGGACATTTTTCTTGCCTGAAGTCTAGCCGTGCTCTTCTGGGAATACCTGGTGAGGATGGTTGTAGCCACCATTGTAAGTTGTAAGCATTGCTCATATATATGTTGCTTTGTGTATTTTTCTTTTCATGACTAACATCAAGCTAGTAGTAAAGATGCTAATAGTAAAAGATTCATAGAGAAATCGGGAGGGGTGTGAACTCAGAGTTTGTAATCTTTATTTCTCAAACATTCTTTCTAAAGTCGAAACTATTCCGTAATATGTGACGGGAGAATTTCATAAGATGCTTATGAAAATATGGTTCTACAAACCAAAATGGATATAAAATAGAAGCTTTGGTTTCTGTTTTAAAAGCAACAAAATATTGTGTTATGTGTGGTGTGCATTAACATTTTTTGAGAGCTGAAATGTGGACGAAATTTATAGCATACTTTTCTCAAACAAGATAAAAGCATTGTAAAGTACTTAATTTTCTCCAAATGCACACTTACTCACTTGTTCTCATTTGTGGGATCATATCGGGGAAATGGATCATGGTCATTATCATTAAAATCATAGCTAGCCTCTGGATCCTAAAGAGACAACAAAAATAACATTGTAGTATCATACACACACAAAAGCAGAACTTCCTAAGCTTTACATCCCTACCCCTTCCCATCCTGGCTGATAGCTCGAAAGTTTGCATTTTAGAGTTTCTGGCCTTGACACTGAATATTTATCATAACCACAAACCAGCCAAAGCTGATGAACACAGCAACGTGAGCAAGCATCCAATTCTCCGTGAATGTTACCAAACCTATGGTTCACAGATGCTCGTAGATGTTACAGCTGGAAGAAATCAGCGTTTACTTACTTCAATCATCTCATTTTTCAATCACCTCATTTTTCAGAGGTCCAGAGAAGTTGAATGACTTAATAAGACCATTAAGCAAGTTAGTGACACTTTGACACTCTTATGAATATAGATGCAAACAGGTGGCTGAGGATGGGACTCAAGTCCACAGTGATCTCCTTCAGCCTCCACAGGTTCACTAAATAAAAAGTAGTTTAATTCGAGAGAGCATGCTTGAAATTCAAGACAAGCTTCTAGGCCTCAATTCCTTTTCCAACCAGATTGCTACACTTAAGCACATCTCACATAGAAATTCTATCACTGTTACTACTCCTCAATATTTCGCATATCCTTCAGTAACTCCTACTTTCTACTCTGTGCTAATATTTTTCATCTCTTCTTTTCCTTCCCTGCTCCTTTGCTCTTTTGCTTGGAGTTACACTGGGGAATGTTGGATGGGTAGAAAGGACAAGAGAAAGACAGAAGACAATCTTAAAGATGAAATGTCTGCCTCCTTGATCTAAAGACCTAAGATAAAATTGTGGAGTTAATATTATATCATGAACTTCATAAACAATGAAGCAGTTAGTTTTCACTGATTTATTTTCCCATTTCTAGTAAACTTTTTCTTTCTTACCTTGGCATAGTTGTACTGTGTGGTGTTTGCTTTGCATTTACATGAAAGGCATCACATTCCACATAACTTCATGATGTCAGACACAGACCCCATAAAAGATGGGAGAAATGAGACTTTGAAAGTGGTCTCAGGCATCAAGCTTAATCTGATTCCTTTAATGCCCCAAACACTGAGTGGTTAAGAGTCTGAATGACTCCTTAATTAATATAATTAATTTTTTTTTGAGTCGAAGTCTTACTCTGTCGTCCAGGCTGGAGTGCAATGACAAACTCGTGGTTACTGCAGCCTCGACCTGCTGGGCTCAGGTGATCCTTTCACCTCAGCTTTCCAAGTAGCTGGAACCACAAGCATGTGCCACCATGCCCGGCTGATTTTTTGATTTATTGTAGAGACAAGGTCTCGCCATGTTGCTCAGGCTGGTCTCAAACCCCTGAGCTAGGCAATCCTCTTGCCTCTGCCTCCAAAGTGCTGGGATTACAGGTGTGAGCCACCGTGCCCAGTTGAATGACTCTTAATAACTTAATTGGTGTAGGTACCTTCCCTACCCTCTCCCAACACACAGTTTAGTACAATCTTTGACCCCATTGAATTATTTCAATGTCCACTGGTTCAAAATAAATCTATATGAGCTGATGGAAGGTTGCGAAAAGGGACAAAGCCTTGGTTCATTATCCCAGGGGTTAACATCAGAGCTACATCCCCTTGAAGAGAAGGAAAGTCCTAACTGTGTGACTGTGTGTCACAGGTGTGGGAAAGACTCACATAATTGGCATAAATGTCCGTGTGATTCCACTCCAAGCCATCATCCAGTACAGTGATAACAACTCCTTTGCCCGTAATGCCTTTTTGCCAAACAGGTATCACATGAAGATCCAGTTTGGGCAGGGCTGCTGTCATCCTGGTATCTTGCTGGTAAAGAAAAAACAAGAAGCACTGGTAACATAATGATGTGTGTGCTAAAAAATGGGAACTTAAGCTCCCACCTAGAGACCCTTTTTCTTTTCCCTTGGGTTAAGGGGAACGATTTTAAGCTATGATTTTTAATGATAATAACTTCTACTCTTTAGAAGAAAAGTAGGTGAAATGGAAAACAAAGTTGAGAGTAGGACCATATGAATCATCAGAGTGCCTCTCTTCTCCCGATAGTTCCAGTGGGACTTCTATTGCAAGGATGAATCATCTGGGCTTCTCTTTGAACTACATGGTTTAGAAGACATTTACCCTTAAATTTATTTCATTTATAATAACATGCTTTCATGTATGGAAATTTCCATCTCCCCTCAAATCTTGGTTCTTTGTTGCCTTATTGAGCTCACATTACATTGTCTGGCACACAGTCATTCATGAGGGGTTTAGAACTTTTCTTCTAAAGGAAGAGCAGAACCTGAAATGCTCAGGAGACTGTGATCTCATCAGGAGTTGCAATTTAATTGCCTATTTTCAGGTAAGAGGCAAGTTGGGGAGTGTCTGTGGGAGATTTGGGGTTTTCCTTTTCAAATGATTTTTCTGATAGTTATGGTGTGTGGGAATGTAATACAGGAGTTGGGCAGCAAGGAAACACAGATATAAGCACATTTCCAAGCATATGAGAGAGATAGCTGACATACAGAAGAATGCCAGTTACCTGGGGAAGAAGTCAATATGAAATGTGTAAGTAACAACAATCAAAAGTGTCAGTAAATGGACCAGGTAAGTGGCTCATGTCTGTAATCCCAGTACTTTGGGAGGCCATGGCGGGAGGATTGTTTGAGCCCAGGGAATTCAAGACCAGCCTAGGCAACACAGCCAGACATCATCTCTATTAAATATATATGTATATTTAAATTAGAAAAAGTAAATAAATGATTAAGTGACAATAAATGAGACTTTCCCCTCACTGTTTCTACCCACAAAGAAGCATGGTGGGGTATGGGGGAGAGGCAAGAATTTACTAGGCTGAAGCTAAATTTACCGGTGTAAAGCTGAATTATAGAAGGCTAGAACCATACACAGATTGTGGGCCAAAGCCAGAGAAGAAGGCCTCTGTGTCCATTGCAGAAGCAATTAGAGTGCGATCGTTAAGAGTGTAGCCTCTGGGGCCAACAATTATGGTCCCACCACTAGCAGCCACACAATTCTGGCAAATTATTCTACTTGCCAGTGACTCTGCTTCATTATCTGTTAAATGGGCATAATTACTATATCTACAACATAAGGTAGTTGTGAGGACTAAATGAGTTAATTCATGTCAAACACTTAGAATAATATTTGGCACACAGTAAATTCACAAAACTGTTAGCTGATAAGTCTTTTCTGCTGCAATGAATAAGTACTTAAGATATTGGCAAGAGAAACAGGTCCTCTTTTCTAAAAGGCAAAAAAAGAGTCTAAGCCTTAGCTTTAGGTTGTCATTAAAAAATCATCTTTTATAATATTCTCAACAACAAACCATTCTATTAACATGTATTAGGACAATGGAGGCTTAATGTTAAAACAGACCTTGTGTACCGGCAGCGACACTTACAATTTTTCCACTCAAGGATTTGGTAACAATCCTTAAAGGTGGAAAGGTTTACAAGTCTAGACTTTGCAGTACACTTTCTGTATGTTCCTCACTCAAAGAGTCTTATTCAGAGACTCGCCTGTACCATATAAGAATTAGCTTCATTCAGAGATTTATCTATATCATGTAAGAATTGTCATTCGGGGATGTATATGCCATATTCTGTGAGCAATTTAAAAGGTTCTCAAGATCAACTTTAACCAAATGAGATTTTTGCCATGGGTACTATTTTTTGGACCCCCTAACCTGCAAGACATGATGCTTCTACATTTATCCCAGATAAGCTCAAGAAGACAAAATACGACAACTGCTCTCATAGCAGCTAAAGATCTCTGTCTCAGACACCCTCACCCAGCAAAACAGAAAATCCTGATCATGGAAGGTCCCATCAACCCTAATCTCTGTATAACACAGCCCTCTACTAAATTCTCCATTGTAAAAAAAAAAAAGATCCATTGTACAGATGTAACAATATCAAGAACCCAGGCCCCTTACAGTCCTTCTCTAGGTGCTTACCAAATACCATTGCTGATTCCACATGGGATCATTGAAGAGATTTAGTGCTGAGTCTCTTGGAGTTGAACGTTTACTTCTTTCTTTTTCATACTGTTGTTCAGCCCATATCACCTACAAGGATTTTTATAGTAAGAAAATCAAAAGTTAAATAGTCATCTCTGTGTAATTATCTTCCCTCTGTCTCTGGTACCCTTCCCATCAGAGCTTAGGCAGTGCTGCAATATTTTCATTTGACTACAGATCAAACTGACAGCTCAGTGAGAAAAAGGGATTGCCCACTGGGTAGATGAATTACTCCTCTGTTACAGGAAAGTGCACCTTTAGGGTGAGGAGAAGCAGTCAGTGAAATGATAATTCTCTCAAATTATTTACACTGTGGTTACAGTGGAAGCAAAAGTTCAGTCTGCTTTCATCAGCAAATGAACCATAATACCAATTTTTATATTGAGGTTCCAGGACTCTACAGCTGAAAATTTGTCCACTTTAATGGAATGAGTCAACAAACTAAGAGTCTGCTGAGACTGCTGTTATGATGCCCTTTAGATTAATTTCTATTTCTTTACATGCAAAAGGTAGAAATTGCAAATATTATACAAGAAAAGAATGGTGCTGTGATTTTGCATATTTGAAACTCTGACTCCCCTGTGCTTCAGCCCCCTGTTAAGAGTTAAGAGTATTTAAAATGAGAAACAGATCCAGGGTGATAAATGAGTCCTACTGACCATGCACACTTACCATTAATTCAGCCTCATGCATTATGCAAAGAGATCTGACAATTCAAAAATTACCTGTCCCAAATTTACAGCATAATCCTATTATACTTGAGGCCCTGGTGGGGGGTTGCCTTGTTATTGTATTCATTTTGTGATAATGCTATACTCTTACTTTGCTGGGCAACATGACTATTTCCTGCCCAAAACACATCTTTTCTGTTGTATACACGATGGCAGTTCAGTATGTGTCAGGATATTGTTAATGTGAGAGTACGCATGAGTCAGTACCAAAAATGAGAACTGGAAAATAATTTGCAACGAAAGGATAAAACCATCCACTAAGACTGTCCTGAATTTCAATTAGAAAATACACTGCAAACCTATTATAAACATTGGGAAGGACTTGAGTGCTAGAAATTAGTCACTATAATTTATTTTTAAAGTGCTTGTATTTTCAAGCACAATTGTTTTGGCTTAAAATACCCCAATGTTTGGAATAATGCCTGTCATCTGAATTGGTCTTTGAAAGCTGACTGCCAGAAACAAGTACTAATCTTTGAGGTAGAGGGTCACTTACAGTTGGAGACTTCATTAATAGACTTGTAAAGATAGACTATCACTGCATTTCACAGGGTTGATTTGAAAGAGTATTATCCCCCATTTTAAAAAGAGCAATAAAAAGAACATTAAAAGTAATTTTTAGAAATGGAATATAAGAAGAGACTCTGCCATCTGATCAGATAAATATCCAATTGTAGGAAACAGTGTTATGATTAATGTTATTAGCTCAGAATCTCATATTAATTTCTAGAAGAGCAGGCCAAATGCAGTAGAGGAAAATTGGTGGTGTCTTTTTATTCTACATAATAGGTATCATGTACTTAATTGTAAATAATACTTTTGATCTGAAAAGAATGTTAAAGATCGTCAACTCCAACCTTCCACTGCAAGCTTCTATGGTTCCAGGTTTTTCTTAAAATAAAATTACTATTGGGCTAATATTTTTGCAAAATTATACCTGAGTTAGGGAATAAATTCTTAGCTCTTTTTCATAATACCTTGGGACACCCCCTAAAATCAACTATCAAGGAGATATCTAAAGAGTAGGACAGAGTCACCTGTTAATTTCCATGAGGTACTTTGAATAAGAATAGCAGTGAGGTATGCTCTACTCTGTCCAATTTTCTCCTTTTCTTTTTAAAATAGAGATGGGGTCTCACTATGTTGCCGAGATCTTGAACTCCTGGCATCAAGCAATCCTTCTCCCTCAGTCTCCCAAAGTGCTGGGATTATAGGCATGAGCCACTATGCCTGGCTTAAGTTTTTCCAATAAACATGTAAAAGGGAGTCATTTTGACTTCCTTGTGCATTAATGGACATACATTTTGGGCATGCATTTAGGCAGAAAAGGAAATCTCTCATGCTTTGCCCAAGGACTAAGCCTAGTCAGTGTCCTACTTTTCAGAGCCCACGTACAATAATCCATCTGCCTTGGGACTGGTAAGGGAAGACCTCACTGGACAAGAAGCTTTTAGAGTAAGGTGCAGGGACTCTGAGTTGTTTTCCCACAACTAGTCACAATTTGACCAAAGGAGCTAACGTTGAGTGTACATGAACTATAGAGTGACTGTCCATGGTGCTGATATGGCATCCCTGGTCAGACGCAGTTGCTTCCATTACCTTTGAACACTGGTAACCCAGGCCCAATTATTTCCTACCCTCATAATTTTTGTCTTCTTCTTTTTCATCTTTTAAACACTCTATCAATTGGAAAACAAATAAAACAGCAAATTATTTCACAGATTTCATGAATCCTATGTACTTTCGGCTGTTCTATCAAATTTCTGTCAATTATACTTTTTTCCCCTGGGAAATTGAAAGGATGTTTTTAATTCTTTCTCCAAGAGGATCTCTCTCCACGATTATCTATAGTATCATAAGCAACAAAAATCATCTAAGCAAATATCAGGCCAACCAGGATAAATTTCCTCCAGTATAGCACGTTCCAGAAAAAAACATAGCAACATAGTGTATGCAAATTGCAATACTCTCAACGTGATCACCATTTTTTATTGATAAGTCTGCTGACTTTGAAAGTAGACTTCAAAAATCTACAGGTACATTAGCTATATATTCAAATTGTCTCCATCCTGTTTACCTATAATCATTATAACCACTTTCTGCTGTTGCCTGATCATTGAATCTGAATATAAATCAGGATGGAAAAGTGATCAAATGATTTGAACCAAACAATATAACTCTTATGGAAACATTTGCCTCAGGAAGACATGGATTTAGAGCTCTCTCATAAACACTAGTTCCTTATATAGCAAAACCAAATAGAAATGGTGGAATGTGTTTCGGTTACACTGAAATGTTATTGAAAGCAAGGTTCATGTACTTCTTTGGCATCCCCACATTGGTATTAAAGTGTTTGGTACATAACAGGTACATAATGAAAGGTTGCTGATTGATTGTATTGTCAAACATTTTTTGTAGTGCTGCCTCTTGATTTTCAATATTCACTTTCATACTCTTAGATTGAGTTTGTGAGTATATGTATATAATTAACTTTAGGTATATATAAACAATTGCATATGATAAAGTGTATATAGAAAAATTGACTTTAGCTGAGCCAATTCAATTCAATTTTGTTATTATTATGTGCAATGATAACTTTATGGAAAGAAACATTGCAGATAAACAATCATAATCACAATAAAAAAGAATCATATTTGCAGAATGCTTTTGTTCTTATTAGAAATCATAAAGAAAGCAGATAAGTTAGAGTACTGGTGTGAAGACAAATGCACACTTACACGATCATCATCAGACAATCTCTTAGTGATATGAATGGCACTTCTTCGAGACCTTCGGGGATGGTTTTTATGTTTGAATAAGTAGTGATTTTCAAGTGATCCAATCTACAAAAGGAAAAAATTTAAAATAAAAATTCATTTCCCCAAATAAGTATATATGGAAACTAGTTTGAATCCCAACTGACTTAGAGACAGGCAAATTTTACTAAGCACATTCCTTGTACTTGAAGTTAAATGACAAAGGAAGTTACTGATAGAGGTCTTGGGATGATTCTCTGGATATTATCACTTGGACTTACAATATACCTTGAGGGCTGGTGATGCTTGTTTCACACATTTTGGAGGAACTAGATTTGGTTTTTGTGTGACAATATTGTATAAGTAGACATTTCTCAGAAAAACTCATTTAATCAAATGCATTCTTTCAGAGAACAAATATTTGTGGAAAACAGGTAAGAATCTGGGGTATTATCTATGGTTAATGACACATTCAGCTAAAATAATTCATTGTTATAAAATATAGCCATTGAATTCATAGTGATGATTTTTATTAGCTACTATTAGTGACCATTTGATTTTTCACTAATTCAAAGCTTTCAGGACAGAGCATTCTACAATTAGGGCAAGTGTTCTACCTTAGGGTATGTAGACTTCTTGAGTGGCTGTCATCACCTTTGGTCAATTTAAAACTACATTCCTTGTTCTTCTGAGCTAGATATCCTTTACTCAAAATAGTGCTAAATTTGAAGCTAGCAAATCCTCTAGATGCCCTGCATTTTTTTCAAATTAAGAGACAAACAATTGGCAACGGTTTAATACAGAATAAGCATATTCTTTAAATTGCTAGTTCTCATCACCTAATTTTTTTTTTTTACTAGAAATGCTTGCTTAGGACCTGATCCAAGCCTGAGCCTCAGGTAGTGAGCCTGCTAAAAGCTGTAGATAGACAGAGTTGAGGAGAGAGATCAGTAGCCATAGGAAAAGATCACCAATGCTCAGCTCTGTGCCTGCTGTCAATTGATTCTGCTTTTTGTCAGTACTTTAGTCCTGGCTTTATCGTGAGGCCATAAGGAACTCAGGATAGGAATGGTATACTAGTGTAGTTATAGTAATGCTTACCAAAAAGAGAGATAAGCAGAACCAGAAAAGCACTATCAGTCTCTTACAAATAATTATTATTCTGACACAATAACTTTTGTTGTTTGTTTCAAAACTCTTGTTATTAGTGCCATTTTGGCTAGAGGAAATATAGCATTGAAAATCACATGTAAATATAGATTGTTTTCTCCATTAATTTTTTTTTTTTGAGTTGGAATCTCACTCTGTCCCCCAGACTGGAGTGCAGTGGCACGCTCCTGGCCACCGCAGCCTCGATCTGCTGGGCTCCGGCGACCCTTCTGCCTCAGCCTTCCAAGTAGCAGGAACTACAAGCGCGCGCTACCACGCCCGGCTAATTTTTAAATTTACTGTAGAGATGAGGTCTCGACAATTTGCCCAGGTGGGTCTCGAACCTGAGGGCTCAGGCAATTCACTCACCTCAGCCTCCTGAAGCACGGGATTACAGGCTGAGCCACCGAGCCTGGCTTCCATTAATTTGTAATGCTTTTTGTGACTATGTCATCTCTTCCTCCAAAGAAAAAGAATTTTTGTTTTACTTTTTGAATGTATGTTTGTTTATTCTGAAAAGCAGTTCTCACATTGAATGGTCCAGATTTAGATGCATGTCTGGGGTTAACAGGTGGGAAAAAGAAAAGAGATCTATTTTTTGCTCTCCTCCCTAGCTCCTTCCACACGGGTGCTATTTAAGCCTTTCAGTAGCTGTCCAAGGAATACGGGATTAAATCCTCAGTTTTTTTCCCCCATTTAAGATTTCCATGATGCCAAAGTACCTGCCAGCACATTTCCATAGACTCTCTTGGTCTCAAAAATTCCCCCAAATCGTGGGCAGTTGCCAGACTTACACTAAGCTGCATCATGTCTCCCTGTTTTCTGACAAGCTGTTTTCAATGCCTGGAGTGTCTTCTCCAATCTCATCAAGTTCTCCTGGCAACCTCTGACTCCTCTTCCTAAACCCTGTGCAAATGCTTCCTCTTCGGGGCAGTTTTCTTTCACACCTCTGCTTTCATTTCTTCAATCAACAAATACTGATTCCAAGCACACCTTTTATTATTCCACAAATTACATTCAATTGCAATCATTTGTTTCTAAGCCACTCTCCTCTAGATTCTTGATTCCTTGAGAGCGGTTCTCTTCCCCCCCTTATCCCTCAAACCCTGTCACTGAGCCTGGCACCGAGCACAGGCTGGACAAAAAAGCAAAAGGTTGGGTCTGCTGCTGGGACAACAGGAAGCCAGTCTGCATTGACTTTGCTGACGGGCATTTCAAAGACAGTTTGGCTCATAAAGTTAGAGAATGGAGCCTCTAGCAAGAGAGGCGAATTCCCCAGCGGACTCGATCTGTGGAATCGCCAGCGCCCACGCCGATTACTCATCCGTGACTTCAGCGGCGTCTCACTCAATCACCACCTCCAGAAAAAAAGGGGGGGGGGGGAACGCGCCAAAATGTTTTACAACTCCCTCCTCCCCCGCTTCGACGCAGACCAACTTCCAAGGCCGAGGGCCAGGGCTTGATTCTGAGCCAAGGAAAAGAAAAGCTCTAGATTGAAAGTCTCATCCCCTGGGGTCCCTCGGAATCGTGCAGCTAAGCAGTGTTTCTCTTTATGCCTTCACGACGCCCCCCATCAGCCTTCAAACTATTTATTAACCCAGACCCCACTTGGGCAATAGTTTCCATCGTAAGCCGAAACCCCCGGAGAAACGATTACGTACTTGGTTGAGGAACAGGAAAGACACAAATCCCTTCCCCGCTGTCAGTTCGGCAGTCGACCCTGCAGGGGGTTGGCCGAGCAAAGTTACGAAGCTTGGACTTTACAAGTTCCCAGTGAAAATTCGGAGCTCCCCAGAGAGGGCTAGAGATGGATGGTTCAGCGTCTGTTCCCAACCTCGTCTCCCGCAGCTTCCCGTGCCACTCCGGTCCCCTCAACCTCTGGGTCGCGAGTCCCAGCAGCTGGCGCTCTCCTAGCGCCCTGGGTGTGCCCCCCAAGGCTGCCAGGCGGGCACCCCCAAGCCTGCTCGTCCCCTCGCCTCAGGACTTGGATCTGATGCTGCCATATTGAAAGGAAGGAAACAACCGGCTCCTGACGCAGCCCGCCAGAGTCCCAGGAGACGGCGTGCTCTGCCTCTCCGGGGGGAGCTAGGCTGCTGAGAGCTTGAGCGCATCTCAAGTTCCCTGAACAGGCGTGGAGGGATTTTTCTACCAAGCCGCGTGGAAACGGATTTCAGTCCTAGAGCTGCCAACAACAGTAAGAAGAACAAGCTCTACCCAGCTGCAGTAGCTTCCTTCTGCCATGCTGCGCCCTGCCCAAACAGTAAATAATGCAATCTTTCTCTCCAAGCGCGCGGCTGGCGGGAGCTGGAGAAGCTCCTAGTTCTTAGCCGCCTTGGGCACAGGAGAGTGCAACCTGCTCCCGCTGGAGAGACCGCGCTCTAGTCCCGCCAGCTTCCCTGGACCCCGGAAAGTTTCTTGAAAGTGGAAACTCTTACCTGACCCAAAAGGTCATAGCCCAGCTCCTCGGCGATGGCCGAGGCTGCCTCTGGGCCCCCGGGGATCTCCGCCGCCCATTCATTGACAAACTGCCTCTTAGCTTTCACACTGTTCAGTGCACACCACGCGCAAAAAAGGGCGAAGGCAGTGCCCTGCAGAGTCCAGGCTCTTCGCTCCATGGTTCACACGCTCGCTCGCACCCAGGTGGGAAGGGGAGACGGAAGGGAAGCCAGGTAGGAGGCAAGCCAGACTGACTCGCCCCTGCCACCCTCGGGCTCCTGACCCCTCCTGGCTCCCGGGTGCTCAGCAAAGAGCTAGGAGGCGCGCGAGGAAAGGCTGGGCGGTGGCGGGCACTCAGTGAAGCGCTTCGCTCTCCAGGCTGAGTAGAGCCCCAGCCCTTCCCAGCCAGAATGGAAATGAGTGTTTACACGTCAAATCGACGAAAGCCATCTCTTGACGTCAGATCTACCTGGACTAAGATCTGAATGGTATTCCCGGCGGGGTGGAGAAGCGGCTAAAATAAGCAGCGAGGGATTAAGAAAAGGAAGGAGCCGTTTGCTAGGATCAGTGAAGTCTGCTCCTTGTCTGCCCATAAATTCTGTAGCTGTGAGAAACATCTTCACTTCTCAATGAGAGGTGCTCCGTTGGAATGGAACTACCAAGCACCAAAGGCTGGGGGTGCAGTACGCTGTCACCCCTTTCTATCCATTTTATTTATAGTTACTTTATTATCTCGTGTGAGGAGAGAGGGACAGGATGCTTATAGTGGCTCTTTGAGTATCAGCATCTGCTATGAAGAACAGGGCTCTTGGGTCTTTCAAATCGGACCGAAGCTGAGAGGGCAAAGAGGAGAAGGGGAGCTACTGTCCCAATCCCTCTCTATTCGCCTAAGAAAATAAGCACATCTCCAAATGGTAAAGCAATACTTTCAAAAATGAATGTTTAACCATTCAAACCAATTTAGTTTACAAGTTTTCTTCTTCCTCCCCTCTGTTCCTCAACCTCAGGAGAACAATATCTACAATTCTACTTCAGATAAATTGCAAAGTTGGCACCACCATTACCTTTTACAATGTTTATCAGAAAAATAATCATATGATTTAAAACCATATTTTTAAAAAATGACCAACAAGGGAGTTTAGGGGCACAAAAACTGTTGTGTTGACCCAGGGAGGGAAAGAGCAGGCTTCATTAGCGCCGACTTGCCTTTTTCCCATCAATAGAGCTCTTGACTTTGGCGCTGAACAGGAGCTGTGTCTTTACTTTCCTATAAAATGCACAATACCTCATTGTGGGAAACTGTTTTCCTGTGGAAAGAGAACAAGCAAACGTCTAAGTTAATCCTCCACGCCTACCCCTACCCGAGAGAAATGAGTTCAGTCTGCCATGGCGGAGCCTATTTGAATGCGGAGAGATTGAAGGGGTGGGGACATACCCCAGTGTCTAGTTTCAGCACCGAGGTCTGGACAGCGACACACGCACGCCTGCGACCAGAGCTGCCCTCCCTTCTGAGCGCCGAGAACCTCTGCCCTTCTATGGCTGGCCGGCACCGAACTGCTTCCCTTTTGACGTGTGCCTTTTCCCCTTTTGAATAGCAAAATACGAAACTGGCCGCAGGGGGCAGAAGGGAGTGTGGTTAGGTTCTTAATCCTGACTACTTGTGTGGCGCCCTGGGGAACGCGGTGGCCTCAGCCAAAAGAAAAATCGCGGGGAGGTGAAAGTGAGCGACTGTGCTGCGTCTAAGGTGATTTTTTTTTTCTTTCTTTTTTCTTTTTAGCTCCCAACCGCCGGAGGGCGCAATCTATTATAGAGAAATCGAAGAAAATGGTGAGGAGATTGGAAAGAAGGCATAGGAACACGTGGAAACAGGAAGCAAGAGTAACAACCAGAAGAAAATGAGGCAAGTCTTGGTTGAGGAAGAGTCTCAGAAGTGCTAATTTCTCATTCGTTTCCATGTTTGCAGAAATGTGGATCAATTGGTATTTTTCCTAAACATAAAGCATCTTGACAAAAACACATGCTGATGTTCAGAAGCCATGCAATGCAGTTAAGTGTTTTACAATGATGTAACTCTCCTATGAGATGGTATGGAATGAGTTCAGGATGATAGTTCTGTTGTCTGTTCTGTAAATCCACATGTATGAGTGTTAATGACTGGGTGAGCTATCTTCCTTTCCTGTCACGCCTCAGCCTGCGTTGTGGCCTCAAGCTCTCAGGATTGTTTTATTCTCACAGTAGACATGCTAACTGTGCACCAGCAAGGGAGAGAAAACCCATGCCGAATGTTTAACAGTGGTAGATATGGGTAGAAGAGGAAGATATTTGTCCTTTTCTTTTTATTGTTCAAGTAAATCAGTTTAGCAGAGTGTTGGCAGTAAGGTCAGGGTCTCATCAATGAGGACTTTGTCTTAAATGGCACACCATACAAGCCTGGAATAAACATTTTGTCTATATCCCTAATAAGGCAAACTAAATTCTCACAGCAAGAAGATGATGTCTTCAGGCACACAATATATATATCAGAAATTTATTCTGAAACTGTATGATTTTTATTCTATGAGCGTTATTTGCCACAATTGTGTTCTTCTGGGTTGCAGAAGTAATAAATATTTACCAAGAATGGGGGTGCAACTAGACTTAGAATCTAACTTAGCTTGTTCATAGCAAGGGTTAGTCCTTGCTATTACTATGTGGATCATAGTAATACACTCCAAGTCATCAGTGATATATTTTTATTATGAATTGGAAAAGTCAATTATCACCTTTAAGTTGGTTTTAATAGCATTTTATTCATCTGAGTAATTTAAATAGAGAACAGGATAATCTAAAAACTCAAGTGGACTGTGTTTCTATTATAAACTGTCAAGTGAGTGCCATGCCTTTCATGACTGCTCAAAACTGCCCAGTTGATATGGTTAATCATATATTAAGTTTCTTTGGGGGGGGGGGCAGAGAACTTTCTTTTTTTAAATTTTCTATATCAATATTTTTTATTTTGATATTGTGGGGTACAGTTTAGGGTTAGGTATACAAATATGCTTCGTTCAGGCACCCTTGTTGATAAGGGGTGTCTCCCGGTCCCCAGACAGATATTGATATTAAGTTTCTTGGAGAGGAATAAAAGCAATGCTAGGATGAGCAGGAAATAAGGATAAGTTCAAAGGAGATCTGTGGATCACCATATCTCCTTAGACTTAGACAACAAATACTTTAAAACTTGTGTTACTGTGCAATAAAACATGTACTCTCGGGTACACTAAACAATGTGCTCAATGATTTATAACAAAGTGAACACAGTGTAACTATTCTTGCTAAGAAAAAAGAAAATTTCTAGTCCTGCAGGATAATACTCCAAGATTTTCAAGAGACAGAGAATGTGTGAGGAAATAACTCAGGCTTAACATTTTCCACTTATTGCATAGACTTACTTGTCTGCTGTGGGTAACAGTAGCTATACATGAACTCAAATGTATAATCAGTCTGTGATTAAGCAAGAAGATTTTTGTAGTAGAACATATTATAGAGGCAAGCCTACCTATAACAGTGTTTCCCAACATAGAAAATAACAATATTTGAATCATGAAGAGATTTACCATTTGTCTGATGTATCTGGGGAAAAAAATAACAAGATTTATATGGCACACTGGAGTACACTGAAAGACTCAGAGGTGAATGAATAATTATGAAGAATTTTTGCTGAATGGACCAGACAAGCATTCAAAATCTTGAATTTAATATGGAATTGAGCTGAATTATCTAAATTAAAGCAGTGCCATTAATTCCAGTTGTTGAAAATTATTGGTCTTTTCTAATGAAAATGAATATTGTATGTGGTCATATACAACCATTTAACAGCAACTTTTGTTTCTTTTGAACAGATTCTTTTTATTTTTTTAATTTTAATTTCAAGGTTCTCCATGTTGTAGCATGTATCAATATTTCATTTATTTTTGTTGCTGAATAATATTCCTGTTAGGTCACACTACCTGCAGGGGCCTCCAGAATGTTAGGTCACACCCACCGGGTGTGTGGGTGCCTGGTGTGGGATCTGGTGCTGTGTGAAAGATGCAAAGAAATACAGAAGTTAGGTTGGAAAATATAGTTTATTTCAAAAAGTAAAGTAGAAAGAGAGAGAGAGAGAGAGAGAGAGAGAGAGAGAGAGAGAGAGAGAGAGAGAGAGAGAGATTCACCTCCCCAAGGTAAGGGAAAGGGCCAAAGCAAGGAAATATGACAATGGCCATACCTCAAAGAGCACATGGCCACAACAGAGTCTAATAAGGCAAAGGCCGAATAAGTTCTTTTAAAACAAGCGTTTACTAAATAAGTTTTAGAGCATCCCTGCTTCTGTTTCCAGGAAATGCTTCACTTCCTCTATACTTTTAAACAATTTTTTTTTTTTACTGACTCACGCTGAGAGCAACCCTATCAGCCTGTGCTGAATCTTCACATTTTTATATGAAAATCCCGGTGTATAACTGTTTTTTCTGCTCCTGAAGTATTTTTTCCCTCAAGAATTATAGATGCTCAGTATTGAAAAGTGGCCTTGAATATTATATAGCTCCTTGCTTCCCAAAGTGTGGTCCACATACCAACATTATAGGCACGACTTGGAAGCTGATTAGAAATGCATACCCTTAGACCCAGAACTGTGGAATCAGAATCTACCTTTTTAATGAATCTCTGGAGGTTCATATTCATTTAAAGTTTGAGAAGCACTGATCTAGTTAACACTCCTTTATATACATGACACTCCTCTGTGACATTTCTATCAAGTTGCTAGGTAATTCGTGGTCTCACAAAGCAACCCATTTTTTTGATTTGGATGAGCACAAATGGTTACAAAGTCCTTCCTTATAATGACATAAATCTTTCCTCATTACCTAGTCAAGCACACTAATTTTGCCCTATAGTACCATCCTGATAAGTCTCAATCTCTTTTTATACACGGTAGCTCTTCATGCTTTGGAGACAGATTATTCTTTCTTGTCTAACTTTTTATTACTCTAGGTTAAACATCCCCAATGTTTAAAAATACTTGCATCTTGGTTACTCTTGTCTGGATTGGATCTTTCTAACAGAATTTTAAAAATACGTACCTAGAATGAAATTCAGTATCCTTGGTGAAAACTGTACTAACTAAAGCAGGAATTTCACATCTTTTTGGAAACAATCTTTTTGCCGCAATTGCCTAAAATTAAATTAGCTTTTATCTTTTTCCTATTGAACTACCAGAATCTCTATTTGTATTAACATGTGCTACTATTAAATTAATTTCCAACATAACTTGTACAATTTTTTTGATTATGACCTATATGTATGGGGGAAGGATACTAAGTGTGAGATTAGATTTTATTTTCTAATGTGGTACATATACACAATGGAACACTACGCAGCCATAAAAAAGAACAAAATCATGAA